CCCCGGGGGGACGGGATAGGTACAACGAGCAGTTTTGGGCGCGGGGGGGGTCCTCCCTGAAAAGAAAAGGGAGCCACGACGGCCTTTATGGGAGCCGAGGGGCCCGCGGGTGGCCCCCCTTCTGCCGGAGCTGGAAGGAAGAGCTCGCAGGCCGCAGCCAAGCACATCCCCCGTCAAAGTGTTAACAGGCCATGCTTGAAATGAAAGCTCGGCCTACACAGTCGAAGGCCGCCTTTCTTTTTTCTTTTTTTTTTAATTAAATTCGAAAATGAAAAGCTGCCTGGCAAGGCACATCCGTCTTCCCTTCCAGCAAAGTCCCCAAGTGCCAAATATCAGAAATAAAAATCTGAAGCTTTTGAAAACCCAATTCCAACGCAGCGTGGAGGGATATTTTCTAAGCATACTTCAGCACGCTAACTTTTCCAGCCACCCAACTTCCACAGTGAGGGTGAGCAACTCGGATATCAACCCCAGACATCGGGCCGGTATCAGGGATGATGGATATTGCAGTCCAAGGCCTTGCAAGGGCTCCCAGCTCCACACACTCGTCCTTCAGGCTAAGGAGCTGGACGGCCACCTCACAAACGTTCTTCAAACCACTCTGTTTCCCAACTTGGGCTTTGGGGGACTTCAGTGTCAGGGGAGGCATTTCCTTACAATACAGCCCCAAAAACTTACCCAGGAATATTAAAGCTCAACACCAGTTTTCCATTCTCTTCAGCGTCAAATTTAAATGGGTAGAAGTCAAACCCATGCAGTTCTCCGTTAGATGGATGCAAGAGGATACCAGTCCCCGGTAATCTGGAAGAAGGAGGAGAGGAGGAGGGTGGTGGTTTGTTAGCACTGAAGGGGATGGGCTCCAAAGCCCAAATTGCTCCCACCAGACACAGGGAGGCAATCTTGGCTGTGCCAGGACAGGGCCAGAGGGCAGTAGGCCAATGGCAGGGAAGTGCCTTTGCCAGGCAGACACGATTTCGTGCTCTCCGCCATAAGAAGTGAGGCAGAAGACCAGAATGACTGGAGCTGCAAACTCTCTCCTCTGCCCCTCTTGCTTCCCCCCACATGCCTCTGTAAAACAGGCCCTCGCCCAGGAAGAGCCTGGGGAAACAAGGAGAAAGCTCTCACCTACCTGCCGAAAGGTTTGTTTAGGGGGCAGCCGCAACGAGGGCGCCTTGTGAACACAAGGCGAGAGATGGCAGGCGTGCCACCTAACCAAGCCTGGGCACCGGGTGGGTTATCTCAAGGTCCCATCCTTGTGAAGCGATGGAATCCTTAGCTCACTGTCTGTCTGTCTGTCTGTCTGTCTGTCACAGAGGTGTGACTTCTGTTCAACAACAGACAAACACTTTCCCCCTGTTTAACCCCTATCCAAAACTTGCCTGTGAATCAGATCTGAGGGATTTCCTGCCTCTCAACTCCGAAGTGTGTAAGAATCTCTGCCTTTTTATTGTTCAGGGCCCCTCTTCCTTGGGAAGCAGGCCCCTGGGGATGGTTGCATTAAGAGCAGGCGATCTCTCACTGGCATGGGCCTGGCCCCCCTCTTTGGCCAACAGCACAAAGCAGCTGGTCGTTGTGCCCAAGAGGGGCCCTGCAGGGCCCCTCGGCCTTAGGGTGGAGAAGCCCAGGTGGCTCTACTTTTCCTCTGGGCAAAGCTGTTCAAAGAGGTGCTGGTGAGGCTCCAGCAGCATGGTCAGATCATTGTAGAGCTGTGAGCAAAACTCGCACGGGATTTTCCATCCTGACCTTTGTGACGTCGAAGTCCGGCTGAATGGGAACGGCAACTGCAACCCCAAGGCTGCAGCAGAAACCGCCCAGGAGGAGGCTGCCCAGCAGAACACTCATTTCTGCGCCTGTCTTGCCACTCGCGACCCTCTCCGTGCTGAGCCTGGTCCCTCGCTTTTATCCTCTGAAGGCTCGTCCAGGTGAATCGGCCCGTGGCCAGGAAGCTATCCGGAGAGAAGCGCCGGATCATTTGCAGCAGAAATGGGGTCACAGATGGGTGGATTTCCAGGACATGTTAGGACGGGGTGTTCCCTCCAGAGAACATCGCCTCGTCCCAAAAAGTGTGGATGGGGGCTCCCAGTGAGGTTCAGAAGAGCATGACTTCCCTTCTGATCCCACCCAGAAGCTTTGCAGGTAGCAGGACAGGCACAGATGCAAAGCTTGGGTCCAGAGGGAAAAGCGTGCTCCAAGGTTGCATTATTTTGTGGGCCTGTCCTCATCTGGCTTCATGTCCCAGCATCGTTTGCAGTGGAAAATTTCTTCCCCGGGTGAGCTGCGCTGAGATGTGACGCCTGCCTTTTTCTTCACACTGTGGCAAGACGGGATTTTTTTTTCCCAACCCATCAATGGGTTCTGCCCTGTCGGTCTGGCTCCCCACCAGACCCGTCCTGCCAAGTGCTGGAATGTCATCAGCACCTGGCACGGAATTGGAGAACGACTCGATCGATGCGTCTGCAGCACCAACAGAATCTCGTCTCCAAGAGAGCAACCGCTGGGGAATTCTGGGAGCTGAAGCCGACACATCCTGGGGTTGCCAAGGTGGAGAAACGTTGCTCTAGGCGCTGCAGGCCCCGTCCGTGGTTCTCCCTCCTCCTCTTCCCCAGGGCAACGTGCCATGAGACAGGCCGGGCGCTGAGAGAGGGACCCACCGAAAGGCCCCCAGGGGCGGTGTGACCATCCTCACTTTGGGGCCGGACCAGAAGAGGGGTGCGGGGCAGAAGGGGAGGCCTCCGCTGGCCGAGGACGCCCAGGTAGGGGGGTCCCTCCCACACCCGACTTTGGCCGGAAAGATGAGCCTCCGGGGAGCCCCTCCCAGCCTTTTCCTTCACACCTGTGGCAGGACTGTGCCTGGCTTTACAACCTCTCGGATGCTCCCCAAGCTGACCCAAACACGCTCGCTGGGCCTCTCCGGGGGGAAGCCTTTATGCTTAGCAAAAGAGGTCGTGGTGTGATTTGCAGAGGGGCTTTTTCCAGCCATGGGCTCTTCTCCTGCCCCCCCCCCCATCCCTGGAACAGGAGGCTCTGTTCTGGGACTCGGAGAACTTCAGGTCAACCAGATCCTTCCTCCCCATTTGCAGGGGGGTCGGAGGGGTGCATTCAGGTTAAAAAATGGGTGTGTCCTTTTTCCTGGATCTGGAGACAGAGTGACCCTGAGGCGGGCTTGGATCCCATTAACGGTTCCCCTCTGGGGGCTAGGGATCCAGCCACTACAAAGAGGCTCCCAGTTCAACTCTATTTTAGCAGCAACCCTCGTCCACTGCCCCAAAGCCCACTCCTTCACTTAGCAAGCCACCTGCTGCGGGACCTGGTGGGAAGAGCTGGGTGCCAGCCCTCCGGGACGAGCAGGGAGTGACCACGTGTGATGAGCGGGGCTGTTCTGACCGTGCGGTGCGGGTGTGTGTTCCCACCCATGTGGGCCCCCTCTTTCTTTCCCCCGGGGGGTCTACTTTCCAAAAGTAGTTGGAAACTTTCCAAAGGTTTCCCTCTTCTTGCAAACATATCCCGCCCAAGTCAAATTTAGAAATAAAGAATCCCCCAGACGGCCTCGTTGTCACTGTTGCTCACGACTAATCAGTTCAGTGACCAAAGAGAATTAAGTGTTCTGGCAGGTTGCAAAGATCCCAATAAGCATAAAGTTTCTAAAAGCACAAGAAGAAAAAGTAACATTGCCGGAGCAATTCCACAGTAGGCCATTCATAAACCCCAACTGGAAAGGTAGAAATTCATCATTCCCGCAGGGAGCAGCTGCCTGCCCAGAGCGCAAGTCAGAAAGACCCTGTAAAGGGGCTGCATTTGCAGGCCCTTCCAGGCCACTGCCTGAGTGGCGGTCCCGGGAACTGGCAGCCAGCACATCCCCTCGGAGAGGAGTCATGCACACACAGTCGTTACGCTCCCTTCTCACAGGACAGCCACTGCGTTGTTTCCCCTTTTGGGGGACCTTGATTGAGTTAATTAAACCGGGGAAGTTGAATATGCAGTTTTACCCAACCGTTTCAGTGAAGGACGAAGACATTTCACTGTAATCGTCCTTACATAATCTGCGTCTGTAAGCAGCTGGTAAATAACTTGCAAATCAGATCAATCCCTGGTGTAACTGGGACCCGGCCTTTCTGGCATTGAAGGATTCCTCTCCTAGCAATCAGAGGGGTGCAGAGGATCTTTGACACCCCCTGAGCAAGACACGGGCAGACGAGGGTGGCAGGGGCAGGCAGGGCGATGCCACACCCGATTGTCCGGTGGAAATGCAGGGAAAGTTTCAGGGGCAGCAGGGAAGGGCAGTGGCAATTATTTATTCCAGAAGAAAGAGAACCCCAAAGCTGTGCACTTCCAGAGGAGAGAGGAATCCCCTGCCTTTTCATTGTGAATTGGTGACAATTGCACTTTTAGTTAGGAATGTATCTTTCAGCTTTTAGCTTTGAATTTAGGGTTTGTTTTTC